AGAAACTACTTTTGCTGCTAATGCTTTGAGCTGCTATTTACAAGCAGCTGGCCTTTATAATGGTCCCAAATCTAGAAAGTTACTCGTTCGTATTTTATGGCTTTTATCTGTTGATGATGACAAAGGACATATTTCTCGAGTATTCGAAACTTATAATAGTAAGAGTGAGGTTCCAGTATGGTACTGGATAACTTTTATACCGCAACTTATAGCTTGTTTAATGCATAAAGAAGCAAAACATGCTCGTACAATTCTTACGAAAATCGCTAAACAATATCCTCAGGTAATAGTGACGTTATTGTAAAATTATTTTATTTCTTTAAAAAAAAAAAAACCTTGTCACGTTGTATTATACTAAGTTATTTTTAAATAGGCCTTACATTTCCAATTGCGAACAGCACGAGAAGAATCTATGTTGATTAAAAAACAGGCCTTGGCTGCACAGTCGCAGGTTCGCGCTGGACAAGTTTCATCTCCTGTTGTGAATTCTCCAGGAGCTCCTTTAACTCCTATGCCTACGTCCGTTCCCAGTAACGAAGGAATGCTATTGTCATCTATGTCGCAATTAAATACAAATGTAATCGTTAATGGAAATGGTCATAGATCAATACAAGTGAGCCCAGAGCAATCTAGCCCTAGTCAAGCAAGCTCTGGTCAAATCTTGTCGTTCCTTAGAAGGAATGGTGGCCCAGCAAAAGGGAAAAAGTCCTATCCATAGATTATATGCTAAATTATCATCTAAATAGTGTAGCTGCTTTAAATATGGTAATAGATCGTTAACACGTAATTTTTTCATATCACGTAAAAATTCCCGATGTTTCATTAAAAATTCTTCCAATTCTTTGCTGGGAGTTAATGAAGATAAATTCGGAGACTCGCCAAGAGTCGCAATGGATTTGGTTTGCAAACTGTATGTTGGTGGCTGAATTCTTCTTTTAGGTGAAATAGAGCCAAAAAGAATATCCAAAGCTTGATGGAGCCAAAAATAGTCTGCCAAAAATTCCCAGTTTTGTTCCGATATTATGTATGAAAGACGTGTTGACAAAAATCTGGCCATACTATTATCAAATATTTCCATAAAGCGATTTCTAATTTTAGAATTACTATAACGAGTACCAATTAAAAATGCCTTCTCTAGCTTCACAGTCATTTCAGATCTAGCAAAAGAAGGGTCAGTATATATGGAGATGACGAGATTCAAAAATTCCTCAATTAAAGTCTTATCATCCAATGATTCAAAACATAGCATTTTGACCAATATGTCGGATTTTTCTTCCAGAGTGGGAAAAGGTTCGGATTTATTTATGACCCACTCTTTCACCATTTCGAAAATTGTTCGAGAAAGTTCGTAATCTTTAGTTTTCTCTATTAATTGGGAGAGAGCTGCAAGAAAAATTGGTCTTGGCTCGTTCAGCTCGGATATTCGTGAATTTACAAGTTGTAACGCCATTATAAGCACGCTGACCGGTGATTCAGGAGCCTGTGTACCATTTAAATTACTGTTGTTTGTGGATGTATTCGGTGGTAAATTAATAACATCTTTGATAAATTTTTGTATAACTTGAATAATCCCTGTTAAAAAAGGATCAATATTCCTTGGGGTATTGTAGCCTACGGATTTTAATAGCATCATGACAGTATATAAATTATTCATATTTTGAAGACCTTCTTGAATTGTATTATGGACAATTTTAATAAAATTTTCAACTTCAGAATCAGGTGAAGACGGCTGCTCTGGGTTTAAAGGAGAAACTTCCTCGAATGGCGGAGGAGCCAAAGATTTATATATATGAACAAGAACTGGATGGAGACATTCTTGAATTCTTACTTGCGTGCTTCCGATACTATGCTCCAGTAACTGTTGAAGATGGACAATATTAGCAAGGCACCAATCTGCTGGTTTTCTTTCGAGTATTACGTTTAAAACTTCTAGACTATTGCACACACTATTAAGTACATTTTGATTTATCTCTGTAGATTTGAGTGTTCTATCGAAGGTAGAAAGTTTCACGTTGACCTCAGGCCAAAAGTCAGGATGCAAAAATTCCTTTATTAGCTCTAAAGCTCTACGAGCCAATCCAGTTTTACTAACAGAATCAACAGAGGTACATACAAATCGAGTAAGGTACCCAATAACATTTTCCCGCAAGTTTAGATTCGGAATATACTTTTGATTCTGTTCTGCGACGACTCCCCTCATTTCACCACCGTGCTCAATCAACAGCCGCTTACGTGGAGAGTACTCGGGTTCTGAGTCAATGGGACGTTTGTCTGATGACCTAGCGGGAGTTGACGATGCACTTAATTGTTCTGGCGTGCGATTTTCAGAAATTCTACGCTTTTCCCACTTTAAAATTAATTCAGAAAGATCTATAGTCAGAAGTCGAGTCTCGCCAGTAGCACTTTGAAGTAATCCTAATCTTGTTAAAGTATTTGCAATTTGCGACATAAAATGTTCTCTATGTTCATAAAACAAATCAGGATGACGCACTAGCAATTGGTAAACGTTTACCAATTGAGAGACACTGTATCCATCCTCTAATAAAACTTTTTTTGCGTATTGAATCCATGTTGGAGGTGGTGCTTTTTTGTTTTTTGAATCTTTCTTAGATTCATCAAAAGATTCCTTAGAAGGAAACGGATGCTGTGGTTTAATTTTTGGAATCACGGGTGCAAGAATGTCTAAAGCTTGTTTTACTAATGTTCTTGCCTCTAGCTGATGCGCTCTTAAAAGTGCAGAATAAGATTGAAATAAGATTTTAACGTTAATCGAGTCAAATTCCGCAAATATTTGAGCCAAAAAAACAAAGGCAGTTTGTTTAGCAGTTATATCATCAGCTCTGGACCAATTCCAACCAATTTTGGCAAGATCACTACGTGTACTAATAAGATTTGGTACGCGTTGCACGAGAAGAGTTGAAAACTGTAAAACCTCAATACGCAACGAATCCTCAATATCATCATGGGTTTCAGCCAGGTAACGCCAAATATTCTGGATTTTATCCATCTGAACAGCCCCGATAATCTGCTCGTATTCTTGCGCTCTGGCAAATGCAAATAAAAGCATTGGAGTAATGATAACCTTCAAAGATTGCATCTTAACACTAGCAGGAATTAGAGGGTCAATGAAGTTATCTAAAAACTTGTCAAGAATAACTCTCTTCTGTGTTACATTATATTTCATCGCGACCACTTCATGATAAAATTTTTTTAAGAATGTATAGTCTACAATACTTTCATAGGAAAATATTGTTACTAATTCAAATAGCAAATCAATATCGTTCGGGTTCTCTTTAAGATAAATGATGAAAATTTCAACAAGGTACTTGGATTCTCGACATTGTGATAAGCTTAAAGTGTCCTCCCTTTTCAGTCTTTCCAGACGTTCAGGATCATTCCAGGCTTCTTTTAGGCATTTAAGAATAGGTTCAGAAGTGGGTTCAACCAACCAATCAGGACGATATTTTACAATCTCTCGGATAATTACAATTCTCTGAAATTTCACCTCATAAGAACTATCTGAATCCTGAATATTGGTAGTTTTATCAATTAATTTTAATGGATTCGCCATCATGTCTTGTCTGAGTTTTGTAGCCTCATCAGTTCCCAAGATATTTATAAATAGTCGAATAAATTTATTATCACCAATTTTATTGTAAAAATATTCAATAGCTTCAGACGAATAACGATTCAAAAATTTGATAAGAGGTAAACGAAAAGGGCTAGACATAGAGCGACGCAGCTGTTCTTCCAGACTTAAGACAATGACAACCAATTCATCCAAAAAAACATGAGCAGCTGGAGGCAAAAGATGAAATACATTCAGTATTGCAACTATTATTTTAATAGGTTCTATTTCAATAAGCGGTTTTCCGGCGGCTTCTTGTAGAACTGATGGATCAGCCCATTGGCGAAGGTGGTCAAGTAATTTTTTCCCAATTTCAACTTTAAAATAGTTGGTGAGTAATTCAAGAAGCCTAGCTAATCCTTCAAGACCTTGCACAGTAAGTTTTTTATGATCTGAAAGGTTAACCAAAATAGGTCTCAAACCAGCTTGTAGAAGATCTTTAGGAAGTTTGTGCTGTTGTTGAAGAACCTGTTGAAGTCCTTTATTTGCAACCTCTACTACCTCTGGCGCTCTTGAATATAATGATTTGAAAAACACCCCAATAATACGAGTCCGAGTAGCAGCTGCAGTGGATTGTGGAAAGGAATCTGAACGCACCATAGATGCGGATAATAACTTTATACAAACTATTCTAAGATTAATCCCAGCAGTAGACGCTTTATACTGTGTTGAACGACCAGTCAAAGCCTGGTCATCTGCATCTACAAGCGTCAATGCTTCATTCAAAAGTCTAACAAGCTCTTCATTATTGCTAAAATCCAATAAAGGAGGTTGTAATGTCAAACAATATGTAATTGCATCGATATGCCCAATTTGCATTGGAGCTGGGTGGGCTCGGAGCGGTTTACCGAAAATAGGACCTAGTAAAGTATCTCGTGCTCTAGAAAGTAAGTATGTAACATCACGTTTTGTCAGATCGGCTATTATTTGAAATGACGCTTGTACCGTTTCTCTTACTGCAGCATTTGCATTAGACAATTCTGAAGTTAGCAAAGTAATGAGTTTGTCAAATTTGTTTTGTCTTTCACGTTCATGTTCGTCTTGTGAATCCATAACTTCGTCATCATTAAGACTTTCTGATTGTTCTTGTTCATTACAGACTGTTAGAACGTGTAATAGCGTCTGAGAAGCGTCCTCAACATAACCTGCTGCGAATTCTGGCGACATATCTTTTAAAATAAAAAGTAATGATCTGACAAACTCCAGTTCATGTTCTAACATCCATTGAGTGCCCATATCAAGTTTGGAACTGAGAATCGAAATTCCCGTGCAACCTCCACTTTTGCGAAACCATTCTTGCTTATAGCAGCATGAACAAAAGCGAGATGCCAATACATGAAACAAAGGGAAGTGAATAAGTGCTTCCTTTGATCCGGTAATAAGAACACACGTTTCATAAATTAAAGTTAAAGCAGTAACTGCAAGACTACGAAGTTTAGAGTTCTCAGACGTTATGACCTCTACCAAAGCTTCAACCATTACTTTAGTCTCCAAATTATATTGCTTTTCGTCATTATTAAAATCAAACCTTTTCTCTCTAGTATAACGATAATTTAGGGCTTCACTAACTTCTAATAGAGCAAAATGCCGACAAATATTTTCAAGAAATGGTAGTGCCTGTTCTTTAAGATCGGGCAAGGATGCTGCTGCAAAAAGCGAGCATATTACATTTTGTAATGTTTCCTCTTGCAAAACCTTTCTTCTCAATATTTGTTTATGTCCTTCTTTATTTGGCACGTTATTTATTGAAAGTTCTCGAAACTCATTTGTTACAATTGGAACATCACCATGCATATTATCCGTGCTCGAGGGAATTATTTCCATATCATCTACATCATTATTTTGCAGCAGTTGTTGTTGAACCCTTGTTGTTATTGAAACTGCAAGGTCTTCGGGTCCTTCATCTAAATTAATAAACAAGGGAATAGTAGCTGCCAAGAATTTGTTCGCATTTTTCTTATAAAAAAGAGTAGTGTTAGTGTCTTGTAATACTCTTGCAGCAAGTGATAAACCTTCGTCTAATGATAAATTATGCGGATTTGCATATGGTTCAAAATAAATCTGCAAATCAATCCCAGTCAATGGTGGCGCATGTGAGTTAAGTTGCGCTGGCTCTTTAAGCATACGTCGATTACGACCTCCTAGTTTACCCAAAATCCGCATAGTTACGTGGCTATGGGCATTGCTATATGGTGTTGGTTTCAGATGTTTCCAAAGCGCATTCATAAGATCATTAATGACTGGGGCCATTATAGGATCCAAAAACTCGGGTGTTAGATTGTCAATGCAAAGTTCTAAAGTCCGAAGACCCTGTGTGACTAATTCTGGGCCTGCTTGTAAAGCCAAAACGAGCGGTTTCATTAAATAACTAAGAAAAGGAAGCAGTACACTTAGTCTCACAGGCACAGTAAGACAGAGCTCAACAAATAAATCTCGCATGCGTTGTTTATGTATCAATGATAATAGTGAGTTTAGCCCTTCCAGAAGCACTTGTAAAAGCGGAAAGACTTCTTTATATAACGTCTCAAATCTGCCACCCCCAATGCTTCTAAAAAGTGCCCTAAGAAGCAAGAAATAATTTATTGGCTCCTTGGCCTTTGCAGAAAGCTTCATTGAAGAAGTGATTATATTTGCAAGATGTGGATGAAGCACACTTTCATTATGATTTGGAAATAATGTCACAGCCATGAATGCTAGTTTAAACAACCGAAGCATTACAGAAGCATATAAAGAATCGGGACCTCCAAGCTTGTCTAGTCTATCCACAAGGAATCTTAATAGAATTCCGGCAAAGCTTTGGGAAATTACTTCATTATGTGCTAAAAGGTATTGAGGTATTTGGAGAAGAGAAGTATTTTGCAGCATTTGATCGAAAAAAAAGTTCATTTGTGAAGCAAAAATCTCCTGAAATATAGCTGGATCAACCATCACAAAGGCACAACCGAAATGTTCAAGTGCTTCCTTTTCAACTTTTGTATATGGTCCAATTCTGCTCGGAATCTCTATAGACATTAACTTATCAGAATATTTTACTTGAGGCGTGTCCATATTATCAATGTTGAAATAATCAAAGCAACGTACACCCTCTCGAAACAAACGAATAAAAATATCTATTTGTTCTTGAGTAAATCCACGAGCAACTGAGTTATATTGTTGAGGTGTAATCTTGAGATTATTTGGGGGTTGTGGGTTGCACTCTTTTAACCATTGAATGATCGGTTTAAGGCCAGTAACTAGATTTCTGAACAAAAATCTTCCGTCTATATATAAAATAAAAATATTATCAAAAAAAAAAAAACACCTATAAATATATATTAACTAACTTTTATAACTTTATATTACCATTTATAGCATCATGCTGGAGTTCACTAGGTGTAGATGTATGAATCGGACGAGCCTGTTCAAAATCAAAGTCATCAATTTTTTCTGTCGTACTTGAATCACTCAAAACAGTTATTTTCTTCTTTCGTTGTTGTCGCTGTATGTCAGCAAATAACAAATTCAGCGTTGTAAATTTATTAGCAAAAGTATCCAAAATTTTAATTAGCAAATCTCTAGCTATAAATTTTAATATTAAAAAATTAGTTTAT